GAAGTTACACATGAAGCACTCAAGCTACACATGACGCACTCAAGCTATACATGACGCACTCAAACTACACATGACGCATTTAAGCTACACGTGACGCACTCAACCCACATCTGCACGCTTCAAACCTGCCAAATCTTACTCGAATTTTGAATACGCTTCAATTTGGAGTTTAAGTCCAATTATAATTTGCATGATCACGGATTGCCGAATACAGAATTGACATAACACTTCAACTTTTCTTCCCTGTTTTAATATTGTAGCTGTGATCAGTTAGTTCCAAAGTACCTGATAAATCATAAGGCAAATGGTTAAGAACTAAGTGTATGTGCGTCATAGCGTCAGCAATATTAAGTGACGATTAAACGACGAATCATTAGGATACGAGTGAATATAAGTGGACTCTATGAATTTCACTTCGAACGACTAGTTTATTTTGCAACGTACTTGATCACTGTTTGTTCGAGAGTGTCTCCGAAGAATTTTTACGTTTCACGAAAGCTCGGAGTGGCCGTAGAATTTTTATGACATTGCCGAGGGAAAACAGTTTCTAATTTTCTATCGGTTTAGCTAAAATTTGAGTGGAGATGGAAATGCGAGCGACGTATGAAGTGTGTCTGGGTTTGCCCGCAGTGACCTAAGCAAGTAATAAAAGCAGCAATACTTTGACACGAATAGTTCACTGCGAACGAAAGACTACTGCTAAGGTTAAGGGTTCCAGATGTGATTGACAATAAAAAAATACTCGCTAGAATGTAATGACTCTTATTGCTGTTGTATTGTGGTTTTATGGCTGTTATGGGTAAAGATTATTTTGATACTATGAAGGAAAAACTGTTGAAGTATCAAGAAACGTATCGAATCTAACCCTGATGTGCGTTCTAGTACCTAACATACGCAATTCATAGACTTGCTCTAATATAGACGGTCAGTTTTCATTTGAAATTGTGCAGTGAGCGAAACGCGGCGTAATAACACGTTTTCGTGGGATATTCGCGAAGAAACGTCGGGAGCATTTGGTGAATTTTTTAGGAGCAAATGTAATCATAGCTGTGATGATGCTAGGGTAAACTCTGATTATTTCACGGTACTTATGTGGCTGCATTCGACGTGAAGTTTGATTCAATTTAGTCGAGGAAACCTCTAATAGAATTGTTTATTAGCTGGTATTGCTCTTTATGAGAGTTTCTGAAGAATGTTTGTCAGTTATAAGTCAAGGAGTGCAATATGTTCTCGTTTTGATTATGTTGTGCAGACAAGTAATGAATGTATTTTCAGTATGAAATACAAAAAACTTATTCAAGTAGCAAAATAGTAAAATGATGGTATAGTGAAATATCAGTTACTATACTTGGATAGTACAAATTCAAAAAACCAAGTCCCATAGTAAAATAATAAAATGATAGTATAGTAAAATATTACCTAATGTAACTGCATAGTACAACTATTCCAATAACACTTCCCTCAGTTATTCTCCAATCTCCAGTACTAAATCCTCTAACAACCATAATCACTACAGGCAAATAATAAAAAGTAGCTAAACTTGATATTAACCAAAAATAAACGAAAGGAAGAAACAACCGAATTGAAAACCACGAAAACCTGTTAAATACAAATACCACGATTAGCAACGTTACTTGTACCGATTTAATCTGTCGGCGTGTTCAAGTTTTCAATTGAAATCCGCAGTCGCACGAACGAAACACGGAACAAAATTTTCGCAGAGATTTCAAACGGATACCGTGAACAATGAATGTTTCATGGGACTCTGAATCAATCGTTCGAAAATCCTAGCTAGCGAGAAACATGATTTATAGTGGTTCGAGATATTAAAATTTCAATGCAGAGCGTCCCGTTTCACGGCAGTGAAATTGCATTCCCACAGGCTAACTTTACGGTTTCTTCGAATTTTATTGGCGAATGCTTTAAGACCCGCCGGAGAGGAGCAGAGACTACTTTCCGTTCGGACGAAATTTTAATCCGACAGAAAGGATAACGATACAAACGCGATCGCATTTAGCGTCAGCTAACAATTTCGCCGAACGAACAAAATCATAAACTCGAAACTGCTGTATGAAACGCAGGAGTAAAATGAAACGAGAAGGAAGTTGAACTGACCCCTTTACCAGCCATAAGGCTGGCATAAACATAAAAGCGAGTGGGAACTGGGAACAGATGATTCTAATGGCATCCGTAGTCGCTTCCGCTTGTCTTTCGAAAAACGGCTCTAGACAAAATCAATATGATATGCTACGAATGCGCGGTTGGTTTCACCAAGCAGCTCGCTCATCGAATTTCAATGTACGTCTTGCATATACATTTTGAAACGCCCTATGAAATTGCAAGTTTTTCAATATCGGTATTTGAAACTGCTGCTGTACGAAAAATACCAATTATTAGTAATTGGATAAGTAAGGGTAATTGCATGTGAAAGTTGAAGAGCCTTAGTTTTTAAGTTGGGGGAGTTTTGAGATTGGGAGTTTGAGAGTTTGTGAATTGGTGGTTTGGGGATTTGAAAAGTGAAGGTACGTGGAGGTTCATGTTTTTACATTCAGAAATTTGATAATTTAGGGATTTCGGGATTTGCTGAATTAGAAATTTGGAAATATAGAAATTACAAATTTTCTAATTTTGAAATTTTCAAGTTTGGAAATTCGATAATTTTGCGATTTGGACATTTGGAAATTTAGAAATTTGAACACTTCAAAATTTAGATATTTGAATATTTGAAAATTGAGAAACTTTGACCTTCCAAAATTCAAAAAACATTGAAAAATCAAATTCTGAAGTCTTCAATTCTACAAATTTACAAATTTTAAATTTTTCAAATTTATAAATTTTAGATACTGATTTTTCAAGATTCCAAATCTGCCAATTTTTATTTCTAAAAATCTTAAACTTAATTTTCATCAAAATTAGCACTTTATATAATTAAATAAATGACCATATACATAATTAAAACACGTTACAATAACTAAAATCAGATCCTTGTTAAAAATTTGTTTAAATTTCAAACATGTAGTTAATCGAAAGAAAAAGATTTTTCAAATTTTATAAAATTATTATACTTATTACTATACTTGTATGAAATGGCGAAGAAGGAATTTAATACGAAACTAAAGACTAACCATAAATCATTAGCTTCACGAAAGCGTTCCAAGCAGAGTATACATTTTCCATGTAAATTTGGTATTCAAATTATCCGAAGTCGCAAGAATTATTCTCGTAAACGTAACAGCAAGTGTTTACATCGCATTCAGAAATTATAAATACAAATTGCACTGAATAACAAAGCTGACAGAAAATACGCAGAAAAGATTTACTTTCATGATTCGGAAATTTGTGTAACGTTCGATAATTCAAAAATTTAATATAAGGAATAATAGAAGGAATATTTATAACGTCAGTTTAAATATTTTGGAAGAAATAAATTTTAGTATTTTGGTGTTTTAGTATTTTGGTATTTTAATATTTTGGTATTTTAGTATTTTGTTATTTCAGTATTTTGGTATTTTGGTATTTTGATAGTTTAGTAGTTTGGTATTTTGGTATTTTGGTATTTTGGTATTTTGGAATTTTTATATTTTGGTATTTTGGTACTTTGGTATTTTAGTATTTTAGTATTTTAGTATTTTGGTATTTTGGTATTTTGGTATATTGGTATTTTGGTATTTTGGTATTTTGGTATTTTGGTATTTTGGTATTTTGGTATTTTGGTATTTTAGTATTTTGATATTTTGATATTTTGATAGTTTGGTAGTTTGGTAGTTTGGTAGTTTGGTAGTTTGGTATTTTGGTATTTTGGTATTTTGGTATTTTTATATTTTGGTATTTTGGTATTTTGGTATTTTGGTATTTTGGTATTTTGGTATTTTGGTATTTTGGTATTTTGGTATTTTGGTATTTTGGTATTTTGGTATTTTGGTATTTTGGTATTTTGGTATTTTGGTATTTTGGTATTTTGGTATTTTGGTATTTTGGTATTTTGGTATTTTGGTATTTTGGTATTTTGGTATTTTGGTATTTTGGTATTTTGGTATTTTGGTATTTTGGTATTTTAGTATTTTAGTATTTTTACTAGAATTTTAGTATTTCAATATTTTTACTAGAATTTTAATATTTCAGTATTTTTACTAGAATTTTAGTATTTCAGTATTTTTACTAGAATTTTAGTCTTTTAGTATTTTTACTAAAATTTTAGTATTTCATTTAGTACTACATTTTATCTAAAATTTGTTTGAAGTAAATGGAAAGATAAAATTTTCAAAGTTTCAAGAAATTTAATTTGCTTACAAAACTTAAACCAATATGATGAAATAATAATTATATCAAAGTTTATTATTTAACTTTTATTAAGTATTATTAAGATTGACTAAGTAATTAACTAAGTATTAAATTTTAAGGTTTTATTCATATTACATTGTATGTATAACATTACTAATATGTAAGTAAATTAATATGTAATAATAGTTATATAATATTACTAATAATAAATGACGTTACTAATATAATATTACCTGTAATACAAATATAAATAATTCCAACCAAAATAATTACACCAACAAAACTCTTAATAACAATTACAATTGTCATCAGATAATTGTCTTAAATTACCTCAAATTTCCATGAAGATCAAAAATATTACATTTTCCCCAAATAAAACGACACGCAACGTTCATAAACATAGTCATCCCCACAAAGAAAAAAACATTTCTGCAATTTAACCGCACCTTTCCACGCATCTCATGAACCACATTGTTAACCACTCAGGTTTCCATTCAGAATTTTGAAGCGACCTGTATAAACGCGAAAGAAGAAGAATTTTTAGAAAGCACAATGGAAAGCACAAATTCAATGGGTCCGTGCATTCTCAGGAAATGAAATACCCGCTTTATTCAGCCTCGACACAATTTTACAATTGCTTTTCCTCGCGCGAATAACATTTCACTGGTGTACACAATCTTGGAGAGTACTATCTGAAGTTAATGCATTTCTGTTCGCAGGCTAAAAACGGCGGAGTGGCAATGGTTCCATTTTATACATACTTCATAACGTGCAACAGTACGGCCACCATAAAAGACGTTATTGGTACGTAAATTATCGATGTGCACTTTCTTCGTTACTCGTATAAAAAGAGTAATGTCGCGTTGCGTTGATTAGGTTTATCACGGATGGCCGAATACTCGGTGAATTAATATTGGTTATTGGGATTATTCGATGCTAATCAAATTCGAATTTTGTTCTTATGTAATGGAAGTATTTCAATATTTAGGATGACTTGGAGGAGTCAAGTATTTCAATAATACTTGAATTCAATTATATGTTTTGAGTATCGATACAGTTTCGTATTTGCATACTTCGATGTTATAAATACTCAAATACATGAGTACTTCAGTACTTGAATACTTGACTGCTTCAAGTACTTGGATATTTGAATACTTCAAGTACTTGAATACTTGACTACTTCAAGTACTTGGCTACTTGAAGTACTTGAATGCTTGACTACTTCAAGTACTTGGCTACTTGAAGTACTTGAATACTTGACTACTTCAAGTACTTGAATACTTGACTACTTCAAGTACTTGCATACTTGAATACTTCGAGTACTTGAATACATAAATGCTTCAAGTACTTGAATGTTTTAATACTCGAATACATAAATGCTTTAAGTACTTGAATATTAGAATTCTTGAAGACTCAAATGCTTCAAGTACTTGAATATTTAAATACTTGAATAGATGAATGCTTCAAATACTTGAATATTTAAATACTTGAATACATGAATGCTTCAAGTGTTTGAATACTTGCATGCTTGAATACTTAAATGCTTCAAGTACTTGAACACTCGGATGCTTGTATATTTAAACACTTGACTATTTGAATACTTGAATATTGGATCTGGTTGAATTCTCCAAGTACTTGAATATTTGTATACTTGAATACTTGACTATTTAAATATTCAAATATTATAACTACTTGAATGCTCCAAGTACTTGAATATTCAAATCCTTCAATACTTGAAAACTTGAAAATTTGAAAACTTGTATAGTTAAAAACTTGACAGCTTGACAACTTGAAAACTTGAAAACTTGAAAATTTGATAATTTAACAACTTGTCACTTGTAAACTTGAAAACTTAACAACTTGTCACTTGAATACTGGAAAACTTGAATACTTGAATACTTGAAAACTTGAATATTTGAAGACTTGAATACTTGAAGACTTTAATACTTGAAGACTTGAATACTTGAAGACTTGAATACTTGAAATCTTGAATACTTGATAATTTGAAAACTTGAGTACTGCAATTGCTTCAATACTTAAATATTCGAATACTTGATTACTTGAATGTTTCAAGTACTTGAATACTTAAATACTTAAATATCTGAATATTCCAATACTCGAATACATAAATACTATACTAATGCAGATAATTGAACTTCTCAAATACTTGAGTATGTAAATACAATATTACTTCAATTAATTGTACTTAGAATGCCTCAATTTCAATTACATTTCAAATATTCCAGTAACATGAACAAATAAAATATATTCGAATTCATTTGAATTTCAGAATGTAACAATTATCGTATTATGTCTCGAATATTCAAGAACAATAACCATTATTGCCACTCACAATATTTAAAAAAGGCACTAAAATTGTTTCAATAATGTCGCATGAAAATTAATTGCCTCTTTCAACGTCGAGGAAAAAAGAAATAAACGGGACGTGTACATTCGACATTTTCATTTCAATGTACTTGTTGCAATAAAGAACAACTGTGTCAAATTATAATAATTTTTTCTGATGAAAATAAACGTCCATTGAAATTCAATCTTTCAATGAAAGAATTATTCATGAAAAGATATGTAATATTTGTCTGATTAATTTCCAGTCCTGTTTACGTTCATAACGATACGGAATTAATTAATTTGCCACATCGATCGACCAAAAACTTACAATTACGGAAATGAATATTTATAAAGGCTCAGACAAACATGCGCAAAACGTTTGTGGAGCTAGATCAATTTAAAATGCAAAATTTTGATGTTGACCGATTTTGTTCTTACAATTAGTACGATCGAATTAAATATTCTTTTTCGATCTGCGTTTGAATATTTTTGTAAAGTTGTTTTATGAACATTAGAGTGGTACGATTATGAGTGATGGACAAGTTTGTAGGGCACAGGGCACTGACGTAAAAACAATGGGTACAAATAATCTTCTCAATTGAATATTTTTCGATTACTAAAATGTTGTACTTCTGAATTTGAAAATTGAAGATTTGAGAAATTTTGAAATTAGGAAGGTTTTTAATTTTACCTTCTATAGATTCTTTAAGTATCGAAATTTTCAAATATACAAATTTGCAAAAACCTTGATTTTCATAATCTCAAATTTTTAATATTGAAGTTGACAGTTTCCAAATTTCAAGATTAAACAAATTTCCAAATTTTCCCAAGAGATTGTCAAATTTCAAAATTTCTAAATTTTCCAAACTTTACAAATTCTAAATTTTTTTAATTCTATCAAATTTTGAAAATTATGAAAATCTGTTATTTTCAAATTTTACAAATTTCAAAGTTACTAAATTACCAAATTACCAAATTTCCAAATTTCCAAATTTCCAAATTTCTAAATTTCCAAATTGTTAAATTAAAGATTACCAAATTACCAAAATACCAAAGTACCATAATACCAAATTACCAAATTACCAAAGTACCATAATACCAAATTACCAAATTACCAAATTACCAAATTACCAAATTACCAAATTACCAAATTACCAAATTACCAAATTACCAAATTACCATAATACCAAATTACCAAATTACCAAATTACCAAAGTACCGTAATATCAAATTACCAAATTACCAAATTACCAAATTGCCAAATTACCAACTTTCCAAATTATCAAATTACCAAATTACCAAATTACCAAATTACTAATTTACCAAATTGTCAAATTGTCGAATTGCCAAATTACCAAATTACTAAATTCCCTAATTGCCAAATTCCCTAATTGCCAAATTGCCAAATTGCCAAATTACCAAATTACCAAATTACCAAATTACCAAATTACCAAATTACCAAATTACCAAATTACCAAATTACCAAATTGCCAAATTGCCATATTACCAAATTACCAAATTACTAAATTACCAAATTACCAAATTACCAAATTACCAAATTGCCAAATTACTAAATTGCCATATTACCAAATTACTAAATTACCAAATTACCAAATTACCAAATTACCAAATTACCAAATTACCAAATTACCAAATTACCAAATTACCAAATTACCAAATTACCAAATTACTAAACTACCAAATTGCCAAATTACTAAATTACTAAATTTCCAAATTACCAATTTCCCAAATAACCAAATCTATAAATTACCACTCCAATTACCACTCCTCCAAATCTAAATTTCCAGAACCCCAAATTCTCAAATTCCCAAAATCCCACATCCCAAACCTTCACTCCCCAAATTTCCCTCTAAAAATATTTCAACCCAAAACTGAAAATTCCCTCCCCACCCACAGTCAATGCCCACAAACCCACAGCGATCAACTCTGCCCATCACGCATACAAACTCGAAAAGGTAACATTCATATTCCCTTCTCTCCATCGAACCGCGCCAATTAATAACCGACCTAATTAACAGGCACGCACACTCCGCTATTTTATTCGCAGCGATACGTTAACGATGCCTAGTGGAAATAATAAAATCAACATTTAAACCGGCAACGCACGAACGAGTTTATTAAGTGACCATGCTGTTTCAGCACACATCAATCACATTCGGAAGGTGGCCGGGATCGATCACGTTGGTATAGGAGCTGGATTCGACGGGATAAATTTGTAATTATCTTTCGAGTATCCTCGCTACATCGTGCATTCAGAGAATAATCATTATCGATGCTTGTCTCAACGAAACAACTACAATCGCGTCCTATCACGAAGTTTCCGATGATTCGTGACTCGGCCGCGTGCACAATACAATGCCTACATTTACCTGTGTACAATGGAGGATTAAACGAACGTGTAAATCGTACAAATTGCTCCCCGTTGATAACGGACATTCGAACGAATTTCTTCCCCTTCGTTTTTTTTTATCGTCCAACTTTTTTCTACGTCTCTGAATGGCACGATATTATTGGGAATTGAATGAAACCAGGCTACGATTATTAATGCACGTTTCAGTACTCCTACCGGGTTGGAGGACGTTTCGAGGTATCCGCAACTGTTGGCCACCCTACTCGAGGATCCAACATGGACGGAGGAGGATATTAAAAAATTAGCTGGCCTCAATTTGCTGAGGGTATTTGCTAAGGTCGAGCAGGTGAGTTCTACGTGACCAATTAATTACTGACAGATCGCCTTTGTGGACCGGTTTAACGTAATTGAAAAACAGAATGGGCTTTAAACTTTGAGGATAACCCTTTCAGCTGAGCTTTTTATTGTATCTTCTTTTTTCGTTCCTTTGACGAGTCGTGTAATTATCGAATGATAGTATAAGGGATATAATATGATTGGATATTTTATGAGGTGAAATGAGAGAAGTTTGGATTTGTTGAAGTTTGAAGCATTTGTTGTTTCAATACTGCTAAGTTTCAAATTTTAGTATTTTTAAAATTATGAAGTTTGATAAATTTTCAATTTTTTAAGTCCCAGTGTACCAGAATCTTTGGAACATAGCAAAGTTAAAAAATCATAGAAAAATTCAAAAGTTAGAAAATTTGGGAGAAAGTTTGAAAGTCCCAAAATAAAAAATCCCTAGACTCAGGTACTCGGAGAACCCAAAAACCTTAAATCACAACATTAATAGATACTATTATCCCTAGATTGCAATATCCATAGATATCCATATCCCTAGATTTCAATATTCATAGCTCTCAATATCACTAGATTACAATATCGACAAATCTCAATATCCCTAGATTTCAATATTCATAGCTCTGAATATTACTAGATTGCAATATCGACAAAACTCAATATCCCTAGATGGCAATATTCGCAAATCTTAATATCCCTAGATTGCAATATTCATAGCTCTCAATATCCCTAGATAACAATATTCACAAATCGTAATATCCCTAGATTGCAATATTCACAAATCGTAATATCCCTAGATTGCAATATTCACAAATCGTAATATCCCTAGATTGCAATATTCACAAATCTTAATATCCCTAGATTGGAATATTCACAAATTTTAATATCCCTTGATTGTTATATCCCTAGATTGTAATATCTACATATCTCAATATCCCTAGATTGCAATATTCACAAATTTTAATATCCCTAGATTGCAATATTCACAAATCTCAATATCTCTAGATTGCAATATTCACAAATCTTAATATCCCTAGATTGTTATATCCCTAGATTGTAATATCTACAGATCTCAATATCCCTAGATTGCAATATCCATAAATCTTAACATCCCTAGATTGCAATATTCATAGCTCTCAATATCCCCAGATTGCAATATTCATAGCTCTCAATATCCCTAGATTGCAATATTCATAGCTCTCAATATCCCTAGATTGCAATATTCATAGCTCTCAATATCCCTAGATTGCAATATTCATAGATCTCAATATCCCTAGATTGCAATCTCCACAGATCTCAATATTCTTATATTACAAGATTCAGAAATCTTAATATCCCTAAATTGCAATATTCATGGATGTCAATATCCCTAGATTGCAATATTGAAATATGATCCAATTTGACCTTAATTGACCAGTTTGAGCTAATTTCTAATACATCATAATTTGATAAATTATTTAAACCTGTAAATAAATTATCTAAATCGCGTTGATGGTCGAGTAAAGAAAGAAACTGTAAAAATTTTCAGGTACGAGACGAATGGCACAGGGCAGCAGTGTTACCGGTAGAGAAGATCAGTCCTCCGGACAACTCCGCCTGCGTCTACGGAGCGTCTTGATCTTCTGCGAGGACATTCGTATCAGGATTCCTTGACTTTGCACGATCGCCGAAGATTCGACACGTATCACGGAACTATAGAACCATGTAAACGTGCGGCCCCTGGATCAATCTGATCGCTTTCCCCTGGCGGCGTCTCTCCTTCGGGCATCCCCGGGGAAACCTCGATCGCGCCTTATGAGAGATGAATAATCGAGCGAGAATGTGTACGAATCATCTGTGAGAACCGATCACCCCGAGCTGAACGATCATCTTCGGGACAAGTTCAATTCTACTCGTTCTTTATCCTTCGCGAACATACTTTGCGATTTCTATTTTGCTGCAACTAAATGATCGAATATTGTCTGCGTAAGAGTGATCATTAATTTGCTGCTAATTAAGCTGGTCCGTCCATGTTTTCATCTTGGCAATACAACTGGTTCGGTTGCTTCTCATTTTTATTTCGAGGCTTCACGATGCATGTCTTCGGGGACGTTAAAGAGTTCACTTTGGTTAATTAACCCTTCGTTGCGGTCTGTCACGTACGCGAGACATTCTTTTATTCTGTTAAATATTCAACTGCACAATTCGCGGTTATTGTAATTGTTGACGAGCTTTTCTCAGTTCTTGATGCTGCAAATTTACGGTATTGTAAACACAGAAATTGTATCCAAGATAATGGTGTAATTTTTTTAAAATATTCTACAATTTTATATTACATAATTATTATAGTATGATTACTTCATTATGATTGTACAATGTTATACAATTTTGTATGATAGCGTATTGTACAAAATATAATATGCCGTTATCATATAATTATTGTATTATGATATAATTATATGATATTTGTATGATACTCTATTGTACAATTGTATATTAAACAATTATTATAATATGATTACTATATTATGAAGTGATTGTACAATGTTATACAATTTTTGTTTAATAATGTATTGTACAAAATATAATATTATACAATTATGATATAGTTACTATATTATGGTGTAATTGTATGATATTGTTGTACAACTTTTGTATGATACTCTATTGTATAGTTCTGTATTAAACAGTTAATATATTATGAAGTGATTGTACAATGTTATACAGTTTTTGTTTAATAGTGTATTACACAAAATATAATATTATACAATTACCATATAATTACTATATTATGATATAATTGTATCATATTATTGTATAATTTTTTTATGATACTCTATTATACAATTACACATTTCATAATACAGTATGATTATTATATTATGATATGATTGTACACTGTTAAACAATTTTTGTATAATAGTGTATTGTACAAAATATTATATGATACAATTATAATATGATAACCATCTTATGATGTGATTGTACAATATTTGTATGATACTCTGTTGTACAGTTTTATATTAAACAATTATCATAATATGATTATTATATTGTGTGTAATTTTTGTACAATAGTGTATTATACAAAATATAATATTATACAATTATCATATAGTACTATGATATAATTGTATCATATTGTTGTACAATTTTTGTATGATACTCTATTAAACAGTTTCGCATTAAACAATTATAATATAATTATTATATCATAATGCAATTGTATAATGTTGTAGTACAATTTCTGTATGATACTCTATTGTACAGATTTATATTAAACAATGATGATAATATGATTATTATATTATGATACATTTATGTAATTTTATTATGCAACTTTTGTATAACAGTGTATGATACAACTATTATGATATAATTATTATATTAATCATCATAATACAATTATTATATTACTTGCCATGATATAATTATTGTATTATGACATAATTGTATAATACTGTTGTACAGTTTCTGTATAATGTATTGTACAATTTCATATAAAACAATCATTGCAATATAATTATTATATTATAATACAATTGTATAATAGTCTTGTACAACTTCTGTACAATACTGTATCATACAATTTCACATTATACAATCACTACAAAATAATTATTAAATTATAATACAATTTCACTTTATACAATCACTACAGCATAATTACTGAATCACAATCTAATTGTACAATATCATTTCTGTGTTTACTATATAATACAACAATTCTTCAAACAAGCTTCCGATTATACTCAAAACTTGCGCAGATAAATTTTTAAATTCCTGCAACGAAGGGTTAAATTTCGTTTACTGCAGAAATGAACTAGCTCCTGAAGATGTATAAAATATAAATAAGAGAAATCGTTCCTGAATAACTGATAACGATGTGGACAATCGAGACGCCAAAAGAGTATTCGTAAAAAAAAGACACGTTCCATCGAGTAATTCTGACAGAATTCGATAAACATTTTTCGATACTTGAATCGTATAAGATCGATATACGTTCAAATCGAAGCAAAACGTATATCAGCCAATTAATTTCGTTTCTTCACTGCATGAATTACTCTCGACAGCATGAACGAAAAAGTTAATCGTAATTAGACTAACATAGAACTTCCTGAATAACCTGTCTTCTTTTTAAAAAATACGAACATTGTATCCTTGAGAGAGCAAAACGATTATTTGAACGCTTGCTACGAAATAGTGTCAAATTATCAAGTGCGCTTAAGACCAAGGAATTAAACGGGAAAAATTGAGGGAAAAGAGGAAAGACGCAGGAGAACGGCAAGGGAACGAAATTTTTGTAACAATTCATCGGAAAGATCATGGAAACCAATATTTGCGTACATTCGATTCTTCCAAGCTTGTAGAATTCGTCGCTGAGAGACCATTTAAAAAGACTTGTTCGCCATTTATTAAATGTCTTCGACTGATATCCTTGGAAATCTTCTAATAGAGTTTATTATAACGAGGCTTGTATTATCGCGTGCATGAGGCAATTGTTTTACACCGATGCTTGTTCATTTGTTGGGACTGCCGGGTATATTGTATGTTCGAATATCCAGTTTTTTTTGTTTTTGTATGATTGTGATTTATGGACGATAGGGTGATTAGGATAATAATTTGTAAATTAAATTGTGTGATGGAGATGGATATTTTTACTGTTGGACTATTAATTGGGACAATAAGTGACAATATAGAACTCTTGCAGTTAGAGATTTGTAAATTTCGTTACATGAGAATTTCAAGATTTTGTAATTAGAAAATTATTAAGTTCAGAGCTTAGTCATTTTGAGAGTTCAGAAATCAGAAATTGCAGAAATTTAATACTATCAACATTTGGAAATTTTGGAGACTTGAAAATTCGAAAACTTATTATTTTGGAAATTTGAAAACTCGAAAATACAAAAATTCGCAACTTAATTGTCAAAGAATTTCCTCATATTTTTATTCTATCCACAGTGCTTATTTTGGTTAACTAATATTACTTAAATCAAAATTAATTACTCATAGTCAATTAGAATTTTAAATATTCATTCTTATAAAAATTAATTATACAATGAATAAAATCATAAGAATTAAAAATTCATAAAATTAATTTATGAATTTAATAATCAAAATATATTTGACTAGATCCACTAATTTTTTTATTACAAAAAATTATTACCTTCAAACTAGCAAATTATATAATAAAATTTGATATTCACTCCTGAAGCATTATAGAATCTACTTCATTTTTAACAATTAAAATAACAAATATATAACAACATCTATTTTATTTTAACTACCGATTCAAATGACAATATCGACATCTTCAAACAACTACTCGAGAAATTGAAATTTCAGAGAGAAAAGAAAATAGTAACGGTAAATATAAGGGATATTCGAACATGAGAGCACCAAAAACCCGGAGAAATAGACAAGCTAACGCTCGCCAACATTAAACACTGCCAAGCCACTTTATACGAAACTACATTGCGACACGAGGAAGCATAATTGCCAAAGTCCCTTTTCGATATAGTAGTCGAGACGTAGCAATAAAACCTTTAGTGTACGAAGAGGAGGGCTCGAGAACGAATCCATGTAGGGCATACTTCTACATATCTAGAAAAGGGAACCCTTCGAACCGTAACTGACCCCCTTGTCTTTCTTCGGAAGCTATTTATCGTTCGGGTGCCAAAACAGGAATATTGTACATAAATTTCCCTTGGAAATCTTCCATTTCGCATATACCATTCGAAATTTTCATTGAAATTCTACGAATACGACTTATTCTGACGCGTTTAGATTAGAATACGAGGCTGACCGAAGGCAGTGGGTTAATTAGATTGAGAGTCAAGTCTGGGACCAGCTCCGAGTATTTTTCGGGATGGGACCTCAAAATTGATACGCTCCTTCTTATGTTGCTTTAGTCAGATATTCGATTTCCAAAAATGCGCAAAATGCGATTTTGCCAGGATCTGAAGCTAAAATGCAATGTTTCGTGATAATTTCTTTCACATAATATTCTTTGTACTAATCTGGGTACGGATATTTTGGAAAAATGGGCGTGAAAAATTTCTCGCGGAAATTAGGGAATTTGGGAATTTTGAGAATTTTGAGAATTTTGAAAATTTTGAGAATCTTGAGAATTTTGAGAATTTTAAGAATTTTGAGAATTTGAAAATTTGAGAATTTTTTAATTATTGGAAATTTGAGAATTTGGAATTTTGAGAACTTAGAAATTTGATAATTTGGAATTTCAAAAACTTAGAAATTTGAGAATTTGGTAGTATGGAAATTTAGAAGACTAAAAATTTGGAAATATGAGATTTTGGAAGATTGAAGATTAAAGAAATTTGAGAATTTATAGGTAAAAATTTTAGAAATATAGAATTTGAAAATTTGGGTAAGTAGAGATTGTACAAACCCGAATAATCAGGTCCCAAATTCCAAATTGAAGTAAGCACTGAATAAGCAGAACCCTAATATCAAACCCAAGTAAGCATATCCCTAACATCAAACCCAAGCAATACCCCAAATATCAAACTAAAATAAAAATAACATAGATAGTTAACCCTACTAGCAATAAGAACGTAAGAAGATAGAGCCCATAGTTAATATAGAACGTTACATAATGTTCCGAAAAAGGTATACAGAAAGCGGCATCCGATAGGCACAATAGCACTCGTCAAATCGACGGTGAGCGTCGCGACGCATCGAGCGTGGCAGAGAAAGACGGAACGAACGGAGACCGGCTCCGAGTATTTTTGGGGATGGGTCCTCAAAATTGATACGCTCCTTCTTATGTTGTTTTGGTCAGATATCCGATTTCCAAAAATGTGCAAAATGCGATTTTGCCAGGACCTGAAGCTAAAAAGCAATGTTTCGTGATGATTTTTTTCGCAAAATATTCTTTGTACATTAATCTACGGAGGCCCATTTTGCAATTACCCTTAAAATTTCACGAGGACAATGCAAGTTTTTATAGGAGAAATTTTTCATGCTCATTTTTCCAAAACCTCCTAGATCAGTACAAAGAATATTTTGCAAAAAGAAATCACAAAATATTGCCTCCAAATACAACACCAGATAAACAAGGAACGTATCAATTTTCCATAGATCCCAAAAAATCCCCAAAAATCGTACTCCGAGTAACTGGTGCTTATTCCTGACTTTTAAGCCTGAAATTTCATCCAGTTTGCCAATTAAGTGTCGAAGTCATACGTCGCAAAGTTCGCGTAAGCCGGTGATGGGAATCAAAGCAATTGCTCGCGGTGACGTGTGCGTTACACAAACATAGTGTGTTGTTTCGCG